TCCGTTCGAAACCCTTCATTCTAGTGAGGAAACACAGTTCATACGTACATATATTTGTAAGAAATAAGCTAATCTCACACATATTAGGAGTTGAAGTCTTTAAAAAAATTTCCTTTTTCTTTTCTCAGATTTTGCTAGTCCCTATAATCATTACTTGAAACGACTGCATCGATTAGAAGAGAATTTTCAAAGACAATGTACGATTGAAATACTAATGGATAAGAAGTTTAACTTTAGGCCAGTGTATTAGCGTGAAAATCGATGTGACTACCTATGCAATTTCAGAGAGTTCGCCCACTGTAATAAATAGGTTTGGTTTAGGATATAGATGGTCGTGCTCCAGGTGTAGATCTTCTCGGTATCCACAGTCATACTCCATGATTTAGAAAAAAAGAGTGCCTTTCATGCACTTCTGTCATTGTTTGCGTCTATTTCTCGAATTTTCTTCCCTCCCATGTCTATTTTGTCGAACATCGACCTTTCTCCTGCTATTCTCAACTCAATAACACAAATCGGAAATGTAAGAAGACGATAGCAGTCAGCCACACACAGTCTGGGTAATTGCTCTTTCTTCAATTTTTTACCAATCTAGGCATAGAGATTACCACTTACTATGCCTTATAGAACGATCTACGAATTATATTTCTTTTTTCGGGAAACCAAACATGTGCCATTTACTGTGCATGCCAGAATTCTTACTGGTCTGTGAACAACAGAGTAATACTCCAAAAGCTGAAGAAAGCTGCGAGTGAGATTAAAAGCATATCGAATACTGTACAGTAACATGTCTGTTCGCAGATGATATTCCACATTGTAAGAAAGGACTAAGGCATAAAAGGGTTTTGTATGAAAGAGTGACACAGGTTCTCTTTATCAAAGCCGCGAATAATTTTGTTCAAAAACATATAATGACAATGGTTCAAGTCTTGTTCATTTGACGTCTATCATGAACTCGACAGGGCATAGCCGAACTTGAGTCATGGTTTCAATAAAGTTCTCCAAGTATATATATATATACATATTGNACCACATCCACACCCACATCCACCCATCTCCACCCACATCCACACCCACATCCACCCATCTCCACCCACATCCACACCCACACATCTCCATTCACACCATCCACACCCACATCCTTAACTTTATTGGAAAAACGGAGACTGATCTACTTTGATGCTCTTCAATTAATTGCATCAGTACTGTGAATTTTTTTTTAATAAAGAAACGAAAAACACTGATTTACTTTACTTGTTTTTTATTCTAATTATTCCGATAGTTTCCGGTGATTTAATACAAGCAATCAAATGAAATAAAATGCTTTTCTTTTTCTTTTCATTTGTCTACCCCAATTTTGCGCGTCATTATTTCTGAGAAAAATGTAACAGTTAGAAGAAGAACGCTAGTTTACTTTATTTCTTTTTTTTGTTGTATTTATTGCTGCAATTGTCGGAGATTTTACAGAAGGAATAGAGTAAAAAAAAGTGTTTCCTTTCTTTTTTTGGTTGGTTATTCCAAGAATTGCTCGTCGTTTTTCTTAGAAAAATCTAAAGGATTACTTGTTTTTAACGTGTTTCATTCATGATGTAGTTCTTCTGAAAGTGATCGCGCATTTTATAAAAAGAACAATCGAATAACTTGGTCTCTTGTTCATGTCTGCTAATGATCATGGTCCTTTTTTCGTGCTTTTATTCTGATAGAAATGGAAAGAGTAGATTTGTTTTCGTGGTCTTTGTTCAATTATGCTATAAATTCTTGAGCATTTTATAATGAAAATTCAATTCGAACGGAGAATCAAACCTACATCTGTTGTTTTTTTTTTATTGTGCATAGATAGTTGTATTTTTCAAGATTGTTTAAAACCATTTTGAAAAAAAAACAACAGAGTTAACGGAAACTGATGATCGTTCTACTACAAGAAACACTAAATCTAGATCCTTGCATCCGAGACCGCCTCTATATTTTACTGCAGAAGTTTTTACCTAAATTTAGAAAAAAAAAATATCAATGAATTTCTACTGATACTCTTCAACAAATATTCAATCTTATCCGACAAGGTAACAACTAAATGTGAACTGTTGTTCTTCTGTTTCTTTTTTCTTTAAGTCACCGTTCACTGTAGGGTGTGACTGTGCGATATAGGTGTACATAGATCGTATATCTACACGCACCCAACTTCTGAATAGTTTCCATAATACAGATTCTAGCTTATAACCAGTTGCGAGAGGAAAAGTTCGTCCAAAAAGTTTTAGGAATAGGTCAGAAAAAAAACTAAGCATTTTTGAGAAAAATTTATTGGACTGGTACTGTTATACTCTCATTGAAATTTGGTTTTTCTACTATTAGCATTGACTTCAATTCATTTTAGTCTCTTTTGATTCATTAATATAGTTTTTTCTATTGAAATTGTTTGCTCAAATTCGATTAAGAAGGTCTAAAACCAGTTAAAATCTGCCTTCAAGGTTGAAAAATTAGATTTCTTTCGTATTCAATTAGTCTGGTTACAATGGATTTTTAACTTGACACGGAAGTCTTAAAGAATAAGTTTTTTCCTTTTTTTGTGCTCTGAAAATCTCATGAAAATAGAAATGAAGATCAGGTCGGACAGTCTGACTAAATGACTGGCTCGGCTCACTCGACTCGAAAGGAAAATCTCTTTGAATTTGTCCAACAGGCCCAAACCAGGTTGAACCGGGCCGGGCTGCTCGTTTCGAGGTTTGTTGATTAAGATGATTTAACTGCTCAAAATGAGCATTCTATTATTGAGACTAAAACGAAATCGGTACCGATAATAAACTTCGCTTATATGATCATCGGTTAGCAAACTCTATAATTTGCATGCTTGTGCCTATCACATATATATACATTTACCAGTGTGTTCGTTCTCTTCTAAGATATTGTCTGTATTTTATATAGTAAGTTTTCCACATTTCTATCCTGTTGGGGAGTTCACATATAATTTCAAAGAAAATTGTGTCTAGGTTTACAGGAGACGTTTTGTGGCTCGCCACTTTCCTCCGCATAATAGATATTAATTAGTATTCATCTTCCTCTAATTAGAGGTTATATTATTTAGTAACTAAACTATTATCCATTTCAAAATAGAAGAAGGATGGTTGTTTTTTGAATAACTCTTTAATGGAAATAGCTATTGGTGTACGGTTTTCATCATTTCATAGAGGCGAGCATTTTGCATCTTTCTATAGATAGTTAAAAGAGCCATCTTATGATTCTGATGAGCAATCAATAAAATTCAAAGAAGTATTTAAAGTGCTGTAAAAGTTGTATGGAATTTCAATTGTAATTAGTGTATTAAATTTGCCAGCTCAAGATCTACAATTTTACACAAACCCGAAAGTTTTATTAAAAACTTTCGGGTTTGAGTAAAATTGTAGATCTTGAGCTGAAAAATTCAATACACTAATTACAATTGAAATTCCATACAACTTTTATAGCACTTTAAATACTTCGTTGAATTTTATTGATTACTCATCAGAATCATAAGGTGGCCTTTTTAACTATCTATAGAAAGATGCAAAATGCTCGCCTCTATGAAATGATGAAAACCGTACACCAATGGCTATTTCCATTAAAGAGTTATTCAAAATACAACCATCCTTCTTCTATTTTAAAATGGATAATAGTTTCTACTTCATTTACAATATTATTAGCAAAGCTAAGTGCTTGATCTGAAGAATATTACAGAGATTGAATTGTTAGCAAGGATTAAATTAAGTAGAATTGCCGAGTGTTTGCTAATATCTAATTTAATAGACTTTCAAGATATGTCTTCACAAAAACGACCGAAAACGAGCCAAATGGAACTCAAACTATTTCTAAAAAAAAAAAGAAATTCGAACGCAGTCAAACCATGAATGAAAAATAATCGATTGGGCTATAAATCGATTTTGTAGAAATGTAACACAGTCGACAAAGAGAAAATGAGCTTTAATTGATTTTTTGGCATTCATAGTTTAATTTTCATATGGCACAATCTTTTTTTTCTTCATAACAGTTAGATTTATTCTAGTTATAACAAGAGATCGATTGTATGTGACATAATTCTTTTTTTTTTCTCTTTTAAATTTATCCTTGTTTATGGATGTGTGTGTGTGTGGGTATCGGTCTTCTATTGACAAGCACGCACACCCATACTAACACCCACACCATTTTTGTTTGTAACAACCTGACGAAGAAGAGCGTGTCCTTTGAAATGTCGTGAAATAAATAAATTATATAAAAAAAGGGAAGAGTAAAACAATTCTGAGACAAATATTATGTCCTTCCTAAAAATCACTGAATTTCATCTTTTGTTTGTTGTAATATTGTATGATATCAAGAATATGTCTGTCTAATAAAAAGAATAATTATTGATTGCTTTGCAGATAGAATAGTAATCAACATCTAGACACAAACGAAACCATTCGAGAAAACAAAGACTCTTGTTGCAAAAAACTACGGCATATGATCAAATAAATTACGCTTCATTGACTCTGACTGACGAAATCAAGTGTTGAAAAGGTTTTTTTCATTATAATTGTAACTATGTAATGAAATGGAACAGACGACGCAATATTTTTTTATTACGTGCGTATTTATATATTGAAACGTGGTCATGGTTTATACAGTCGAAAAAATATATAATTAAGTCATATAGTTTTGCCATTTCTAGAAGAGAATACATACGAGAGAAGATTGAACGGAAACTGGATAATGGAAAAGAGAAAAAACAGGACAGTCGACATAGATGCCTTTTTCTAACATACGTTTCATTCGAAACTTCGTATATATGCAAAGTTACCGGTAACTGATCATCGTGTTTTATGTACAATTTACTAATTGAGTTGCGTTCGTTTTTTTTCTCTTTCCAACGCAGCTTTTATTTATCGATCGCAATATGTTTCTTTGAATCATTGATATTGTGCATAACTATTGCAGACATATATGTGAAGTATAGTCTTCGAGGCTAGGCTAGAAGCATTATTTACCAAAAACTATATATGTTTACTGACACATCTCTTCAGAACAATTCAAGGATTCAATCAGAACATGATGTAAGTAAACGAGTACGATCTTGTACTAAAACTTTCATCAAACGACTGATTGCTCGTAAACCAATGGAAATATTACAAGCTGAAATTGATACACGAAATGAATTGAGACGTGATCTAAATTGGATTCAATTACTTGCTATAGGTCTTGGTTGTATTATTGGTGAGTGAGTGAGATTGAAAATAATACATGTAATAAGACTTGTGAATGATCTGTTCAGGTGCCGGGATATTTGTATTAAGTGGACAAGCTGCTGCAAAATATTCTGGTCCATCAATCATCATTTCATTTATTATAACAGGTGTTATTGCTTTATTGTCATCCTTATCATACGCAGAATTAGGAACAATGATGCCTAGTTCTGGATCAGTTTATACGTATACTTATGCAGGTCAGTTACTGATTGTATAGGTATTTTGCTTTCACAAATACTTGTTTTTTATTGTTTCAGCCTTGGGAGGTATACAATCAAAAGTATTGTTATAAGAGATTCGTTTTTTCTTATTCATTATAGAATATTTGGCATGGTTTATTGGATGGAATTCCGCGCTACTTCATCTATTCTCCGTTTTGACAGCGGTAGTTGCTTGGAGCAAGCATGTTGTCCTATTTATGTATATTGTATCTGATTATAATGCAACAAACATGTTTGTCCAAGCACCAGTGGCTTGGAACGAAGACGAGGAAAGGTTTGTTGTCACTGGTCAAGCGATTAATTTACTTGCTATTGGAATTACTATTGCAATTACAATTCTTCTTATTATTCGAATTTATCAAATGGCTATAGTTAATCTTGTATTAGTTGTGTTTAAAATTATTATACTTATAATATTCATTTTTGCTTGTTGTGATTATGTCGATCGCAATAATTATTATTCATTTTTTCCATCCAATAAAGGTACATGATTGGCTTATTAAACTATCTAAAAAACGAATGCATTTCATTGTGTGTCTTAGGCTCGTTTAGTGAATATGGAGTAACAGGCATGCTGCAAGCATGTACTTATGTTTTCTTTGCATATGTGGGTTTTGAATCAGTTTCAACAGTAGCGCAAGAAGCAAAGTTACCAGAGAGATCGCTGCCAATTGCCATTATTGGATCAACAATTATTTCACTACTACTATATATTGGAATATGTACTGTTATGGTTGGACTCGTTCCATATAAGTTATTAGACTCAGATAGTCCTCTTTCTACGGCAATGTAAGTTATTTACTAATCTGTTAGAGAATATGAATTGTACTCATTGTAATTTTTATAGAACAGCTACACCTTACGGTCTTTGGTTATCAATTGTTATGAATTTAGGTGCGATTGTTAGTCTTACAACTGTAGCATTGACGGATATGCTCTCACAGACTCGAATATTTTATGCAATGGCTCATGATGGTTTACTGCCATCATTTTTTGCTAAAATTCATAAGACCACAGAAACTCCTTGGATTTCGATAATAATTAGCTGTGATTATTCTTGTTATGCGATTTATAAAATAAAATTTATCTCGATGTTTTAGGTATATTTTGTGCTGTTTTTTCGGGTATTTGTCCAGTAGATATTCTTGGCGAAACAACTTCAATTAGCGCTCTAATTACATATATTTTCGTACATATTACGGTCATCGTTGTAAGTTCAATTGATTCATTTCTCTATTCTGTCATCTGAAATGTCATTTATAGATGCGTTATACACATGGAGATATGCAACGAATATTTCAGGTGCCATTTGGTTCATGGCTGATTCCAACTATAGGCTCCTTACTTTGTATTCTTCTTATGAGCGGTATAACAAAATCAACAGGTTTTCGATTTCTTGTGTGGACAGCATTAGGTCAAATTATTTATTTTTCCTATGGTTTTTGGCACTCTAAACGACGAAAATTAATAAAAAGTGCGTCTATTACAAGTTCAGCCGAGCTTCTACCAACAGTAACAAATGCTACGGAACAATATACACAAAATGGTCTTGAATCAGATTTAGCTAGTGAAAATAGTGAAAGTGTAGTATAAAAAACTTTCTTTACTAATACTTGTAGATATCAATATAAAATATTTTAATTTAAAAAATATATAAATTATATCACGTTTGTCAATTCGATTTAACATAATAAATGGTTCATTATTGACTGTATAAATAGTTTATTGTAATATTTTGTTTAGGAGTATATAATCTCTATTGTCTTCTTGAATATTGTTTATTCCAATTTTTGAATAGAACAATATTCTTTTTTTCTCAAAATTGAATGTATGTTTTTACCTTTTCATTATTATTTTAATAAAAAATAGCATTATATTATGTGTTGAAATTAGAATGGATAATAAAAACCTAGATTTTGGAAGTCTTAATTAAATGTTCTCAGATGAAATTAATCGATAAGGAAAAGAATCGATTTAAAATTTTCATTACAAGAAATATCATTTTTAGAAAGAACATAATGCAAAAACTGCGCATTGAACGAAAGTGTGAGTTTAGAATATTGTGCTATTCTAGAAGAGAAATTTTAAAACTTTGACTTCCTATTACAAACATTAATTTTTTCTCGGAATTATATAACGGAAAAGTGTGGGTGTGGATGTCGTTTTGTTGTGTGAGCATTTGTTTGTACACACCAACATCCTCCGTGATTCAACACTATTATTAACAGTGTTGGCTGTGTTTCGATTGTTATGAGAGAAAAAAAAAATTATTCAATATTTTTCAAAATTGTTAGCATTGAAGAAGTATAGAGGGTGAGAGAGAAGGAATGTGTACAATTCACTTCATTGTCTAATGGATGCAGAAGAAAAAGGTGTTTGTTTCCAATGTCATACAAAGACATTCGCAAATCAATTATAATAGTTACTGCCGACAGCAACATAAATTAAGTTAGTTGAAATCAAGTAGATCAAATAATCACGTATTTCAAGTGAAAAGATTTCCTTGAAACATTCAATGTTTAAGGCAAGAATAGGAGGAAAATATCAATTTATTGGTTGAAACTCAATTGAACTTTTTTCTCGTCAATTTCTATTGATTCTATTATCGAGAATTTGTTTGATGAGTTTGTTTTTGAGAGAAAGAGAGTTATGATGTGTAATGATCTATTACTTGTTCATCTCTTTTCGCTTTCTGGCCTCTATTTTCTATAACTTTATAAAAAAATGTTTCTGCTCACTAATGATTGATCATTTTTTCCTCTTCTATAAAAGTATACAATAATCAATAATCAATAGTAAAATTCGCAAGTTCATCTCAAAAGGCTGATGAGCAATCCTACAATTCTCCAATGAATTGTTTCTCAAAATAATAAAACAATCCATCGAAGACTTCATTTTTCTCTTGATTTTTCTCGAATAAAACGATTCTCATGAATTCATATCGAGATATTAGAAATTGTGAACATTGAATACTATTTAGAACGCTGCCACTATTTCAATTTCATAATAGACTAATAAAATCGAGTAGACGAATTTGTTCAAGTTCACAAGATTTGGAAATGATAATCGATTTTCATCTTTAAGAATTTCTCAGTCAGTGTCAAATAAATGAAAAGAATCGTATAGAAATGTTCTTTGCCTCTACAAAGCGGATAAAAATGTTTTTCGAGAGGAGGGGGCTGGTACAGCTCAAACCCCAAACGATATAAAAGTGAGTTTTATATCAAATGAAAGCTCGTGAAAAACGGGATTTAGGAGTATAACTGATCATTCACAAGATGAGAATGGGCTATAGAATTATGGAAAGTTTCAAAATTTTTGGGGTATAATTGGCCACTTTCACGGGTAGTCAACCGCAAAAACATAATGTTCTCGGAAATGTTTTTTTTTATTGGGCTTTGTAGAGCATTCTTTGCTGATCACTTTAGTAAAAATAATTTTGAAATTTTTGCCAAAAGGATCAGCAAAGAGAGCTCTACAAAACCCAAAGGAAAATTTCTTTTCCGAGAACTTAATGTTTTTGCGATTGACTACCCATGGAAGGGTCTACGAAACTTGCGCACGGGATGAAAATTCATAGTAATTATTATTGATACTTCGAAAGACAGTGAGAGTACAAAGAGATAACAGAAGAAACAAAATTGCTGTATTCATTTCAAGATCATAAATACAACAATTAAGTATGTAAAAAAAGCAAGAAAAAAAAATTATAGAAGAATATTATGTGCTATATCATTAATTTGATCAATATTGTTTTGATGAGGATTAAAAATAAGATTAAATAATNCGCTTCGATAGAAGATTAACAGTTGGCAATGTTTCCTCGTAAGTCAACTTTCATGGGCTAAGGTATATCTAGTAGCAGTTGCCGAATAGAAATTTTCTTTGCCTTAACTGTTGTAGTACGTGGGTAGTATTGACTCTACCTATACAGAATGAAGGGTTATTATGCATACTGTTTAATACTTATTGAGTTGAGTTTTCTATAGAATTTAGATTAACTTATGATTGCTTTTATTTCATATTAATAAATAACTTGTAAAGCAGGGCAATATTTAGTTATTAATACTTGATCTTTTCATGCTTGTTTCTTTTTCGTTCTTCTACAATTTGGAAATGTTTAATGCTATTTTACTTTTCATTTAAATAAATCGAATGAATCAGCGACGAAAATTATACAATATGCATGCTCGAGAAGTCATATCGTATATGAAAATACTTATCGAATTGCTTGATTCGTATCGTTCGATTAATGATATATGTCAACTAAAATAAATCTTGATTTTTTTGCAAAAGCTATAGCCAATAATCAATAGTCTATTTTCAGCGAAATCAAAGAAAATAAAAAACAACTTCTATATATTTTATCTCTTGTTTGTTGTCATTTTGTATGATATCAGGCATATGTTAGGTTAATGAGGAGAATCACTATTGACTGCTTTGTAGACCGAATAGTAATTAACAGCAACAAATAGAGAAAATCATTCGAAAAAAAGACTGTTATCACTAAAAAATGAGACATATGATTCAATAAATTGCGCCTCATTTATTCTGATTAATGATATCTGCTACTCAGCACATATTTCTATATTGAAATAAGGTTGTAATTCGTACAGTCGCAAAAATATATAATGAAGTAATTTCGTCTCAGCATTTTAAGGAGAAAATACATGTGAGGGAGCATAGAACCGAAACAGGATAAAGTAAAAGAAAAAAGAAACAGAACAGTCGTCAAAGGCGTCCTTTTCTATCGTACGCTTCATTGGAAATTTTCTAAATATACAAGGTTACTGGTGACTCATCAATATGTTTTTCTTTCCCATCCAGTTCTTTTTATAGATCGTAATATTTTTCGATAAAATGATTTATATATAGTGCATAATTATTGTGGACATATATTTGATGCGTAGTTTTCGAGACTAGGGTAGAATTACTATTTACCAAAAACTATCTATGTCTACTGATAGAGCTGTTTATAATAATTTAAACATTCAATTAGAACACGATGCTTGTAAACAAGTATTGTCTTGTATAAGAGTTTTCTTCAAACAACTGATTAAACGTAAACCAATGGACAAATTACAAGCTGAAATTGATACACAAAATGAATTGAGACGTGATCTAAGTTGGATTCAATTGCTTGCCATAGGACTTGGTTCCATTATTGGTGAGTGAGATTGAAAATAATACATGTGGTAACAATTTTCAGTCTTCTTTTCAGGTTTCGGGATATTTGTATTGAGTGGACAAGCTGCTGCAATGTATTCTGGTCCATCAGTCATTATTTCATTTGTCATAACAGGAGTTATTGCATTATTGGCGTCTTTATCATATTCAGAATTAGGAGCAATGATGCCTAGTTCTGGATCAGTTTACACATACACTTATGCAGGTGAGTTACTGATCGTATACCTATCTTACTTGTATGAACAGTTTTTTATTATTATTTTAGCTTTGGGAGGTAAACAATCAAAAGTATTGTTATGATAAGAGATTCGTTTTTTTTCTCATTCATTGCAGAATATTTCGCATGGTTTATTGGATGGAATTCTGCGCTACTTTATCTATTTCCCGTTTTGACAGTCACTGTTGCTTGGAGTAAGCAGGTTGTCCTGTTTGTTGATATTATTTCTGATTATAACGTATCAAGCAAGATTGTTGGAGCACCATTGTATTGGAACGAAGATGCTGAACGTTTTTATGTCACTAGTCAAGTGATTAATTTACCTGCTATTGCAATTACTATTGTAATTACAATTCTTCTTATGATTCGAAGTCGCCAAACAGCTAGAATAAATCTCGTGTTGGTTGCGTTTAAAATTATAATACTTTTGATATTTATTTTTGCCTGTTGTAATTATGTCAATCCCAATAATTATCATCCATTTTTTCCACCCAATAAAGGTATATGGTTGCGTTATTAATATATCTGAGAAATGAACGAGTTTTGTTGTGTCATTTAGGTTCGTTTAGTGAATATGGAGTAACAGGCATGTTACAAGCCTGTACTTATGTTTTCTTTGCATATGTGGGTTTTGATGCAGTTTCAACAGTTGCACAAGAAGCGAAGTCATCACAAAGATCGCTGCCAATTGCCATTATTGGGTCAACAGTTGTTTCACTATTATTTTATATTGGAATATGTACTGTCATGGTTGGACTAGTTCCATACGACTCATTAAATTCAGATAGTCCTCTTTCTCACGCAATGTAAGTCATTACGAATCTTTTAGAGGCTATCAGCGATCTTTATTGTATTCTTTTCTAGAAAAGCTACACCTTACGGTCTTTGGTTATCAATCCTTATGGACTTGGGTGCTATCGCTAGTCTCACAACTGTAGCATTAATTGTAATGCTCTCACAAACTCGACTATTTTATGCAATGGCTCATGATGGGTTGCTACTACCAATCTTTGCTAGAATTCACTCTCAGACAACAACTCCATGGGCTTCTATATTAATTTGCGGTAACTAGTGTTTTAATATAGTTTATACGATAAAACTTATCTGAAATTTTGTAGGTGTATTTTGTGCTATTTTTTCGGGTATCTGTCCAGTAGATATTCTTGGTGAAACAACTTCAATTAGTGCCCTAATTACATATATTTTCGTGCATATTACGGTTATAGTCGTAAGCTTCATTGATCCGTTTATCTATTCTGTTCTCTGAAATGTCTTTTATAGATGCGCTATACACATAGAGATATGCAACGACCATTTCAAGTGCCATTTGGTTCATGGCTGATTCCGACTATAGGTACTTTACTTTGTATACTTCTTATGAAAGGTATAACAAAAGCAACAGGTTTTCGATTCCTTGTGTGGATAGCATTAGGTCAAATTATTTATTTTTCCTATGGTTTTTGGCATTCTAAACAACGAAAATTATTAAGAAATGAATCAAATTTAAGTACGATCGACCTTGTCCCAACTATTTCAAGTGCAAGGGAACAACATTTGCAAAGTGGATTTGAATTGGATTTAATTAGTGAGAATAGTGGAAATGCAGTATAAAAATTTCCTTTACTGACACTTGTAGACACAGAAATAAAATACTTGGATTAAACAAAGAGTTAAACAATAACATTTTTTTAAAACTTGATATAGCATAAAAAATAGTTCTACATTGAGTATATAAGTATTTTATTGTAATATTTTGTTTGAGACTACATAATCTCTACTGTCTTCTTTGAATATTATTTCTTAGAATTTCTAAATAGAATAATACTATTTTTTTTTACAAATTTGTGTGTAAGATTCAATATTGAATTTTATTTACATAATCAACTGGAAGAACTTTTCTTGATAATGGAATGTATGTTTTTACTTTTTCATTATTATTTCAATAAAAAAGCATGATGTCATGTGTTTAAGATAGAATGGATAATAAAAACCAAGATTTCGGAACTATTGAATAAAAAAGTACTTTAATTGCTAAATTTTATATCAATAGATTTCACTAAGACATGAACTTTAAAAGCAACATTAAATCATTACTCTCCAAATATGACGGAGCGCCGTCACACATGAATTAGCTTATTGTCGAAGCAATCGTTACTAAAACGGAAAAAAATTTATAGCACTACAAGTCTAATTTTTCAGTGTTTACTCATTCTCGTATTATTATGGGATAACAAAAGATACATTTTTCCTCTGTAAGTTTCATTTAGATAATATATTTTGATAATATCATTGTCGATGAATTAGTTTTTAACCTTTTAGTTGTTAAAGAATAATTTCTGTAAATCTTTCTATTTTGTTTTGATATCTAAACGGTTTCTGCAAGCGTCTGATGATTCAGACAAGTTTCAAAAGTAAAATATTTTATATCAAAAGATAGAGACCTCCTAGTCACGAAATTTTGTCTTGAAAAAAAAGAGACATACATTACTCGATAGAGCTAATCGAATTACATCCATCAAGGTGCTTCATCAGTTTTCATAACAAAAAACTTGA